ACTTATGTTCTTTTTAATTAGAGAAATTCATTGCGCATTTTAAGAATTGTTCATCTGTATTTATGAAGTGTTTATATTGTAGTTGAAAAATATTCAGAACATATTAAAAATGTTTATCAAACATTAATAAATGTAAAAAGTGTATTAAAAATGTTCTCCATGTATTAACAAATGTTTATCACCCATTTAAAAAATATAGTGTGGTTAAAAAATGTTCATCACAAAATTGTTCATAACATTAAAAAAAGTATTTGTACCTCAAAATATATGTGCATAGCATGGAAAGATATTCGCATGTGAAAAGTCGTTCATGACAATTATAAAAAATGTAAATGAAATGTAAAAATATTCTACGCATTTTTTTGGAAAAAAAATAATGACATAGAAAACATGTGTCACCATGTATTTGAAAAATGTTCACCATATATTATTTTTTAAAAACAAACATGCATTAAAAAGGTTTAAGGTGTATTAAAAAATGTTTAATGTGCATTTAAAAAAGGTAAAAGGGAAATAGAAAAACAAATAGGAAAACAAAACATAGAATAAAAACTGATAAAAACATACAAAAAAACGGGTAAACCTTCCTGAAACCATAATGTTAGATCCACCTGGTCCGCTAGTGGACCACGGCCAGTGTCGAATTGCCAGAGGCGAGAGCTGCATCCGTCTCGCAAGATGCGACATATAGCATTTGCAGCCAGGGCCTCTCTCACATATTCCCTGTAGAAAAAACATATTCGCTTATTAGGCTGGTGCTGGGCTTAGACCCGGGCTGAGATTAAATCAGTACCGTTATGATTAAATTTGATAGGTATGGATGTGTATTCAAATCTCCATTACAGCGCCCTTACAAAAGAGGCTAGGGAGTAGGGAGAAGTAAAATATCCCTGTGGACCTGGTGGTGAATGAACGCTACAAAAAAATCAAGGATTTGTTTTAGCAATTCAGGAAAAAGTCAAACCTTTTGAAACTTTTTTGAACAAACTTGACTTATTATCCCACTCGTAAAAAAATTGATAGCAAAAAACTGCAGTAAAAAAATCTGAGCATAAACACAAATTTTAGTGACAATATAGAATGAATAGACCCCTAATATAGTGCTGATTTTTTTACTCTGTCCTGGACAATACCACAAAAATCATTTCGCCCCCAAATGTTTTGTTTTACGAGTAGGACAATAAGGCAAGTTAGTTGGCAACAAATTTCATGATTTTTTGACCATTTTTTAAATTACTAAAAATTTCAAAAAAGGGGTTTATAGGCCCCCATGTTCCGAACGTGCCCCTTCGTAGGGAGAACCGCTACCACGCATGTTTCTATGCCGCAGAGAGTCGTACCGCACAACCCCCTCTGATGTGTCCGAGGAGGAGGTCCCTCTCCAGGGCTCAGGTGGTGGTGATAATCAATTAGTTTTAGTTAACTATATATATTTACATGAAATGTCATGTTGAACATCGATTATATCGACGCTGCTGCATTTTGAGGAGAAATTGAGGGCTATGCCCGGCGTTCGCCCGGTTGTCCATGGACATGTCTCGATGTGTTCATGGACAAATGGGGGCGTCCGTTTGAGGTATTTGCCTTGAAGATGCCCTTAACTAACAGTGACAATATCACATACCGCATCAGCCATCAGGGATAGATTAATGGCGATGCCTGATCAATCCACACACACATACAGGCGCCAACCACCGGGCTATGATTCGGATAGGCGTGGCCTACGCTCCCGTGGGACTGTCGAACGAACCCTTGCGTGCGTGCGTGCGTGCGTGCGTGCGTGCGTGCATGCATGCTCCTGTGTTATCCCAGCTACCACACACACAACTTGATCGTCCGGCCGGTCGATCTACTGGAGATGGTCCAGCTAGCTACTAGCTCTTATATTACAGGCTGTTGGCAAGGACCAGAGGAGGAGGAGCCTTCGCAGGATCTCTCCCTGTCCCCCCTCCGTTTCCTCAATCATAGGCCGTTCCCTTTCACGAATATATATGGATCCGAACGCAGCTGGCCGAACTGGAGCCCCGCCCGTGCACGTACGTACCAGCCACTTCACTCTAGCTCCCTCAGATTATTCATCTAATTAACCGCAATCCAGTAGATTCTCTCCAAATTTGCACCGGCCAGGTCGATCATAATACTAGATAGCAGGAGCTAGCGATCGAGGACGTACGTACACTTGTGTACTTGCGATGGGCTGCAACGGCAACGGCAATGGGCATGCACACGGGGGGATCGGAGTCGTTGGTTGGGACAGGCACCCGCGCGCAACTTGCCGCTCGGGCGCTGTCTGCCTCCCCACACACGCAAGACGCAATGATTTCCGTCGACGGATTCCCCCGGCGGCCCGTCGACGTCGCCGATCGAGACCACGTCGCTCCGAACCACCGGCCGGCTCGCCATGTGGAAGCTCAGACGTCGCCGTCCATCGCCCGCCCCGCCCCGCCCCGCGGCACCGCGCCATACGACCGGCCGGCCGCCGTCGCACTCATCGGTCGCCGTCGCCTCAAGGGCCGCGGCCACCATCGGTCGTGCGAACGGACGTGCTCACTCTGCATGCATGCATGCAAGGCTCAGTCGCTCCGACTCTGAAACTCTACCGGCCGCCATCGTCTCTTTAGACGATTTGACCGGTCCATGACTCGACGTCTCGATGTAATACGTATAGTCGATTCCATGGAGCTAGCCGCGGGTCGCCGTCGTCCCGGACCGCCCGCCTTTGGCGACGACGGCGACGGCGGCGCCGCGCTCGCTGTCCGCCGCAGACAACTCGCGGTACGTACCGGTGACAGCCTAACCTTCAAGCCGTTCGTGCCTGCTTTGTCTGGCCGGTGTCTGGCCGAACTCTGTGTTCTTCCTTGCTTTCTACCTGCATGCATGCAGCTGGTAATCCATCTCAGCATCCATCGAATCGAATCCAATCCAATCTAGCCAGCATTCACGATGAAAGCGAGTGGACGGAGCGGGATCTCTCTCTCTCTCTC